GCTATACTACAATTCAGTAGCGAAAATGAAGTTACCTTGATGTTGTGATTTGGCATTTAAATAATGGATTTTGTTATGCTGTAACTTTACTCTCTAGCCTTAGAGTGTGTAAGTGTATTATTTCTTAGCACACTGAAAATACTCTTTCAAGGTTATCTTGACTGAAGCACAAAGCGATTCCTTATAAAATAGTCAATGAAGAAGTAAGAATGTAATAATTTTTTGAAGTAAAATACCAAGACTCTAGCTGACATACAAATCTCTCAGAATCTATTTGTTTAGAAGCATAAACTGTAAGTATGCTGGGGAAATAGCAGCAGTTGTGAACAGGAAATATTTTAAGATTAAAACCACAAGTTAAAAATTAGCTCGGACCATAGGAGAACAAATCAGTTTAGTAAGTAATGCAATGTCTCCTGTGTTTGTTAGCTTGAGATTACAAATGAAAGTGAAAGGGAGAATTTGAAGTTTAACATCACGAGCTTGTGCCTAGAGTGGTATTTCCTTCAATACATGCTCACCTAGCTCTTTTTTTATAAGCTTTTATTAATTGAATAGTGAAATAGGAATCACAAGCATCAGTTAAGCACAATTTATATTTTTAGCTACATGATCACCTTTACTCTGTCATGGAGTTATTTAGGCTGTAAGTATCATACTAGATTCTTCTGTTGTCCTCGCATAAGCTTAATATGTCTTGATAGGTGGAACATAAATTAATACTTCAAAATATTAAATTGGTTGTATGAACAACAAATATGCAGGAAAGCGCAAAAAAGGACTGCTATAGATATTGGCCAGTTATTTATACAGAAATATTTCGCAGCATTTAACTTATAAGCTTATAAGCCTATTATTATTTTCAAAGCTTTTTGGTTAAGTTTAAATCAGTTTAAACAAAGTTATAAATGTAAATTATGAGATTTTTTTTTTTAGTGTAAAGTGGTTCATTACAAAACAGCACAGACTGTGAACTTGACAAGTTACTGAAAATATAATGGAGTATGTAGGGAAGTCTCAAGTTTTACAGTTTAGGCTGCCAGCTTATGCACATGTGGAAATTCTAAGGAATTTTTTTTTACTTTGTGCGTTCAACGTGTATTGTAACTTACATTTGTTTGAATACTGTTAGAGTAGCAGCAGAGTGTTTAGGCAGAAAATCCAAATCCCTTCCTCTAGATGGAAACACTGGTAATTCTGTGATTTTTTTCCAGATTAAAACCCAGCAGTTCATGAGTTATATTTTTCATTTTAAGATGCATTCTGTATAAAATATATCTAATTAAATTGTGGATTTCATGCAGTATTTGATGTTCTGTGGATTCTGAAAAGGACCAGGCAAGCTGACTACTCTTTTTTTTTTTTTTTGGCAGGATCATAGGGAAGAGAGAGTTGTAATAGCTAGCACAATACATAACTGTATAGCTTGTCTCTGATCCTGTGAGGCTTTGTGCTGCGTTAAAGGGCCTCTTAAAACTGTCCCTCACCTATAACTCTTCTCAGTGTCAGTATACCTGAATAGGTAATTTTAATCTGTTTTTTTCTCACTTTAGTGTAATTTTGTTTTCACTGTTACTTTCCTATCACTGTTATTGTTTAAACTTTCTTTGAAAGGAGTAAAGTCTTCATTTATTCTGCAAATCACGAGATTCGTGGTGCTATGTAGGTAGTATAGAAGAATGAGAAATTTCAGTTGGAATAAATAAGTCCAACTTTCTAGAAAATATTATCTTAGAGTTGAGTATTTGCTTTCATAAAAATGTGATGATTTGATACTAAATTGTAGACATGATCCATGTAAAATGCAGTGCACGTTTTAGGCCAGGTGATTGTCTTCGTATGCTCTTATACTCTAAGGCATTTCCTTTGTAGATCTGTCACCAGCAGTTACTGATTGACTCTCTCACCTGTTGTGTCCTGCTTGTGCATCCAGCATCTTTTGAACAGCTCACAGCTACATCGGGGCTAGACTGTAAAATAAAATAATTTTGAAAGCTCTATATTCTATTGAAGCTACGATAATCTTAGTAGGAAAAAAACAATGGATACTGTACAAATACATGCTTTAGGCCTGATGTAGATTATTTAAAATCATAGTCAGTTAACAGCTATGCAGTGACGTCTTTGTGGGTTAGATTACAGATAGTACTGTTTTGCATGGTTGGTTAAGCAAATATTGTACAAAACACAACATTATGTAAGCAATTACTTATGCTGGCTATTCCTTCATATGTTGTTGTAGTAAATACTAGAGTAGAAAGCTTTAGTCAAGTTGGGCTCATATTACTAGCTACCACACTTCAAAAGGGGTGATGATAAGAGTTTTCTAAAATGATTTATGCTCCTATATGACTAAGATACTTTGAAAAGTTATACTGTAAACATTCTGAATTGTAGGATGGGACTTTTCTTTTGACTCTTTTAATGCAAAAAGGATCTGCTGCATGGGAGGGAAGAAGTGTAAGCACATTGGGGTAATACTCTGCCTGTAGGATTCATTTGTGAATGACAATCTTTGTATAAGTAACGTGCAGTTACTTTTATCATTTTAACATTAATGGAGACCAGTGATTTTTTTTTACATTACCACATCTGTATTGCTCATTACTTAAAATATAAAATTGAATTCATTTTCTAGAAGGTTTCCTGATAGCAGCTGAGGATATTGCTTTGCAGCAGTCAGCAACTATGTGGGAGTTTTGAGAATATACATCTTTGGCTTTTCCCTCTTGGCATTAAGTTATGATAACTAGGGAAAAAATTAATTGTAATTTATTAATAAATAATGAGAAACTGTTGTATGCACTTGGGAAATTCTTATCTTAAAAGTCTATTGATAATAATCACCTTTGCCTTTATCCTTCTTCTGGTGTTTATTTCCACTTCTGCTTCTTCAGATGGTAACCACTTGGGAGCTGTGATTAGACTTCTGTGAATAATTGATTGTTTTTTAAACGTAAACTCGATAAAAAATTGTTTTGTCTGTAACAGTGTTTTAGGGGGTTTGTCTTTCTTTTTTTTAATGTTTTGGAAGTACATTTCTTCATTATAATGGGCCAGAGTTCACTTCTCAAGTGTGGATCTGTCTGAGGTGGATCCTGCTGGCTGTGTGCCTCCCATATTTTTCACATGTTCAGACATTTCATTGGTGCTGTTTGTTTCCACATTTTGCTACCCTGAGGACATGGAGAATTGACTATAGCAGCTAGTCAACTCCTGATCACTCGTCATAAGAAAAACTAGAAAAAGACTATTTTTCCATTTTTGGAGGCTGTTGGCAAGAAGTAACAAGTAGCTGTGTGTCAACAGTTCTGCCCTGTACTGCCGTGGAATTACTTTGAGGTAGTGTACCCCTCTTACAAAAAGGCTTCTTGCCCTGCTGTTTCAGAGGTGAATGACAATTAAATTGTCATGGTTAATCTTCTGCTTGTGGCTTTTCATGAAGATAGGTGACAGAGACCACATCATAACTTCCTTTCAAAATTAATTTTTAACTTTCAAATTTTTTGCTCTGTTTGGTTTGTTGGAGTTTTTTGTTTGGTTGTTTTTGTGGGTTTTTTTTCCCCAAAACCTCCACCAGAACATAAAATCCTTCTTGATGTTGAGTTGAGTTGTTTTATTTCTCATTTTTAATTACCCTAGTAGGACAGGAACCACTTTCTGAGTGGTAGAAGACTAAATTCAGAAGGAGCAGAGGCTAGTATTGCTTTTTCCAATTAAGATAGTATGTGTTGAAAGTGTAATTTACTGGATCCCAGTCACCCGTAATGCAGGCCACATCAGCTGCTTTCTGGAGTTAGCTGCTAACAGAAATTTGTCAGCAACAATTTAGAGCTTGATTAAAATTTTTGGGTTGGTTGAATATGAGGTTTTTAACTAATGTTTACTGGCTCAGGTGCCCAATTAGGGAGGAGAGGTCGGGTTGTCAGGAAAAAACCTTTTCCTGTTCTTTCAGTATCAGATGCTTGCTGACCCTGGGGTTGCCTATACAGATGCTCAAAGAAGGGGATTATCTTAACATAACCACAGTTCTTAAATAAGTGCATCTGTAGATCCCATAAGCTACTTTGCTTCTTCTGCAGCGTTGGAAGTTTTATTGCATATGTTTTGGACAGTGACTGGCAGTAGTTACTGCTAGTCGATTTCCTTTTTTTGTCTCCAAAAGAAAATGCGATGATATGCAAGATCTAACAGGACCCATAGTTGAAATCATTCTGAATTCCTGTGCATATCTGCAGCAGAAGTGGGGCATATGTGTTCTTTACATCTGACTAATTCCTTAAGTAGACAGAAGACTCTACATTGTCTGTCAAAGCACAACGCTTTTTTTCTTTTTTCTTTTTGCTTTTTTTCTTTTTTCTTTTTTTTTCTTTTTTAAATTGTACTCTGTTTCTTGTGGCTGAAATAATTTGAATTTTTCTATATAAAATCTGATGGAAAAAGATTCACCTGGCTTGAGCTATCAGGGTACTTGTTTGCCATTGAAAGTGCTTAATGTGTTTCTAAAAGGAATAAGAGACTATTGCAGAAGGTATTGGATATTTCTTACAGTATTGCTTTGACTTGGCAAAATGTATAGGTGTATGTTGAGCTCCTAAGTTTGTGCTCAATATTCATTTTACTTAATTTAAGAATGTATTGAAATGTTTTGTCCAAGCAGATCCTATTCCCATAACAGAAGAGGTTGGGTTTTTTAAAATTAGAAAAAAAAAAAAAAGAATTTATCACTTTTGTATCCATGACATTGTTTATAAATTATCTTCACAGTTCTCTGGAGTGTCAACTTACTTTCAATTGTTAACAAACAAAAACTCCCCTGCACTTCATGATATGAATGGAATGTAAGGGGGAAAAAAAAAAAAAGGAAATGGAAATGCCAGACATATTTCTTCTGCTGCAACCTCTTGTTCTGTCCTATCTTCTGCCTGTCTCAAGTAGTAATACTGCATATTTGCATGGTCCTTAAATAGTTGTTTTTGCTAATTTTGTTATTAAAACAGGCAACAACAGAGAGACCTTTTATACAGAAGCTATTTCGACCAATTGCTTCAGGAGGACAATTGCATACTTTGGGAGATCTGCTAAAAGATGTGTGTCCTAGTGCTATTGCCCCTGAAGGTACTGTAGAAATAACTTTTGTTTGATAAAATAATTTTGTCTCTTGATTTATTGCTTGAGATTTTTTTTAATATGGGGATTTTGGAGGTAGAACTATGTCTCAGTACCGGAGTTTCAGATTTCACTCCTTCCTGGGCCTTTAGTGTGCCCATTATACATCCCCTGCAGTGTTTGGAAAGGGTAAGATTGAGTCCTTAGGCACTCCTGAAAAATTAATCTCTGGAAGTTTTATTTTAAAATTCATATACTCCTTTGCCGTCATACTGTTCTTAGTAAAAACAATCACGTTATTTTCTGCATGGTAAAAATTAAAGCAACATCAACAGAAGCTTTATTTTATGTTACCTTTAATTTTATATTGCATTAAGCTTTCCATATGTAAAACTCTCAAATTTATAGAAATTGAAGATGTTTTCAGAGTTTTATTTCCCTTTTGAAGCCCAACCTTTAAAAATGTACCAGAAAAGAGATTGTTAGAAGTATGTAATAGTTTATGTATAATTACTAAGTTGTATTGTGTGACAAGACACCAATTCATCATCTAGCATTGTATCATTTCATACAACGGCATTGGTTGATCAGCACTTATTCAGAAAAATAAGCATTTCTGGATGTTATTTTAGCCTCAAGTATTATGACTATTGGAACTCTGATACACTTTTTAGGTGGGATGAATGTAAAAGTTCGGTTGTCTGCAAATTAAGATCAAAATTATTTAACATGAAATGTCAATTTGTTTTGAGAAATGTCTGATATTCTAGAGAAGATCTTGGCACAGAATTTACTGGTGTAGTATCAGCACCTTTTGACAGTAAAGCACTAAATTTGAAATCACTGTAAAAACCTTTATGGTGTTGTTGTACACAGAAGTTGTGTAATTCAAAATCAAACAGTTGTCATGGATTTCTTTAAGTATGGTCATCTTAGAAACTGACCGAAATCTCAAAGTGGTTTTGTTACCCCTGTTTAATACTTCTTAACACATGGAAACAATTTCCAAAAATAACAAAAGGTAAGGAAAATATGGAATGTTGCTAGCCATGTGTCCATTTTTCCTAAAGCTGCTACAAATTTTAGGGCATAATTTCAGGTAGTGCTTTCAGCTAACTGTCCAAAAGCTAAAGCAAGATACAAATAGCTGCTTGAATGTTAGCACAAGCAAGTTTAACCATCTTTAAATACTTCAGTGTGAGGATCCTACAGACACTTAGTGAAAAAGTACAAAGTGAATTTTAAAAAGAGTGAGAAGGATGATGCATTTTGACTTGGAAGGCAGTCAAGAGCACAAATTAAGTGAAAGAAACTCAAAAAGCGTTTATGTGTAAGTTATTGCACGATATAATGGATTATAATTTTTATGTGGATTTGCTAAAGCTGCAGCTGAGGAATGTGCTAGTTACTGCCTTTATTAAAAGTGTGAATGTAATGTAATTTTATCTGAGTACCACTGACTTAATGCTTCCCATTAGTAGGTCTTCTTTTCAGATGTTGACAAATGCGCCAAACTTTAATAGCAGAATAGAGATGTGCTATGCTAATTGTTTGCTTCATTTTTTGTTAAAGGCTAAAAAAAACCCTATACTGTTTACTCAATGCGGGCAAAAAATGGTGATTACTTGGGAAAAAAAAGAAACTAAAATAGGTGCTATCCTTACACTTAGGACGAGTGATACAAAATTTGGCAGAAAGGTTTTCTCGTATTGGGATATACTTGTCTGTTCCTGTACAAATCTGCTTAAATTTGGCCTAGTTTTGATCCTTAAAATTCTACTGAGCAACTTGCAAACTTAGAGTTTAATAAATTTGATCCCTTACATGGGTGTGAGCTAGGTTTCAGCAGAATTTCTCCTGTTAACGCAGATTTCTATTATTGCGTTGTTCAGTTGATCCTCTTTTATTCCGAATGTTGTCCTCCTCTTCTGGTAGGTAACAGAAGGAAAGCTGTCTGAGTTAATGCAGAAAATAATGTGAACTCTTGAGGAAATACAGGGGGAGACTGATACATAGAATGAGTGGAGGGGGAGGCAGACTGATTGAACAAGTAATTTGGAAGAAAATGACAGATCTGGGAATCATTAAATCTGATGGGGAGAGCGACTATAAACAATATGGCAGGATGAAAGAGATAGGAGCACAAGCCAAAAACTAACATAGTATCTGTGAACACCTGAACAGAGTAAGTGGGATAGGAGAAAATAAAAATATGAGGGAGAAGAAGAAGGGTATTGCATGTGGATCATACACTGATATTGTGCAAGGCATCCGTGAAAGACTGGGAGTGGTAGTCCTGCTGGCGAGGTGATTTGGATGGTCTGGAGACCTGTTTGGAGAAACAAATTGAATCAAAAGTTGAAAAGAAGGACAGTTTGCACTGGCAGAACAAGAAGATGCAGGTGGATAGGTGGTCAGGTTAAGCTGGAGGTAGTCAGATAAGGGACTGGGGAAAAATTGTTCAGGGCTTGCTGTACAAGTAGACTGCACCCCAGAAGGAATACAAAGTGGAAAATCAAGCACGGCAACATGGAAAGAAAAAAAAAGACCTAGGAGATAGATTAGGAAGAAGCAGATAAAGGATCAGACTCACGGAAAATTACCTGAAAAGATGGATGCACATAACAGCAGTGATTCTTACTGCTGAGGAACATGCACAGGTAAGGTCAGTTCACTTAAGAGGTGTGAAGGGCAGCACTGGCTTAGGCTTGACATGATGCTTCAGATCATCATACTCTGTTCACTGATGATTCAACTTAGCCAAAAGGTGAACTTTGATTATTCTCTTGCTTAGCTTAATCCACTTATCTCATTCGCTATTCAAATGTAATATGCACCATATTAAGTGTTTATGCTCTAATACAGCTTTGAGCTATTAAAAAAACCCACTAACTCACCAGACTGCATAGTGCCACTTCTGAGTTTTGTCTATAGAAATGGTAGCAGCCATAATGAGGACATGCTTCTTCCTTTTCCAGCAAGTGGACTAGACTTCTGAAACTACAGAACCTCAGCATGTTTGTGCTTCTGGAGTCTCCATGAAACCCATTCAAGTCAACTCATTTTCTCTCTGATGGTGGTTCACTGAGAGTTTAATGAGCTTCCTCTGTCAACAGATGCTCCATCAGCTCAAAATGCAGAGGAGGTTGTCGAGCTGAGTGTTTCTATCCATTTTATGGGCATATGAGAATTTAATTTGTAAGCATTTTCTGGAAACCTGGGAAACTGTGAATAAATGTTTTTCTTCTAAAAGTAGTTGTATCCATTTGAAGTTGAATACTTGAAGTTTAGGAGGTGTCAGAGTTGTAGACATCCTGTACAATCTTAATTTCCATACACGTGCACACTGATCATTACACAGCTTGTAATCACTCTCCGCCTCTCATCTCCCTTTGTTTTCTGTGGGACTTTTGTATTCCTGCACAGGCTGGGCATGTTTTAGTGTCAGGGCTGTGCAGTGAAAAATCATTGTCCTGATTGTTGAAATGATGGATGGGGAATGAATACTTCAGGAAGTATTATAAGTTAGGCAGCTGAATACTGCCTTTGGGAATTGAATTCAATTCTTCAACCCCTAGGGAGTTCATTCATATGTGGCACTAGGCAAGCTGAGTGTCACAAAACCACTATTTTATAGAGATGAGCACCAGAAAAATCCAGTGATCAATGTGAGTGTTCTGCTGAACAGCTTGCTTGCTTGTGCTTGGAATTGGTGAGAACTCAGGGGCTTTTACTGTGCGCACACCAAGCACTCTCTGAAGTTCGAGGCCTCTCATTACTTTTATTCTGGCCATAATGTCTCTTTGACTTCAGTATGTGATCGATAAAATGATGACAATAGTCTCTTTCCACAGGAAAATCTTGATGAAACAGTTTCTGAAGGAAAACTAGCTTGTGGTCAAGACTTTGAATTTTGTGATTTAAAAATTGTCCTCTTTGAACCTGTTTTTGGTATCTTCTAATTGTTGTTCTTGTGAACGTACATGGTTTTGTTTTAATCTACAATTTACATTTATTCTGGTCAAGGCATTAAAATAATCATAGAATCATAGAATGGTTTGGGTTGGAAGGGAACTCAGAGATCACCTAGTTCCAACCCCCCTGCCATGGGCAGGGACACCTCCCACTAGACCAGGTTGCTCAAGGCTCCATCCAACCTGGTCTTGAACACTTCCAGGGATGGAGCATCCACAGCTCCCTTAGGCAACCTGCTCCAGTGTCTCACCACCCTCAGGGTGAAGACTTTCTTCCTTGTATCTAGTCTAAACCTGCCCTCTCCCAGCTTCCAACCATTACCCCTCGTCCTGTCACTGTAGGCCCTTGTAAAAAGTCCCTCCCCAGCCTTCTTGTGGGCCCCCTTCAGGTACTGGAAGGCTGCTATAAGGTCTCCCTGGAGCCTTCTCTTTTTCAGGCTGAACAAGCCCAACTTTCTCAGCCTGTCCTCATGGGGGAGGTGCTCCAGCCCCCTGAGCATCTTCATGGCCCTCCTCTGGACTTACTTGAGCAGGTCTGTGTCTTTCTTCTTCTGGGGCCCCCAGAGCTGGACGCAGTACTGCAGGTAGGGTCTCACCAGAGCAGAGTAGAGGAGGAGAATCATCTTAAAGACATAATGTGATTAAAGACATAATGGGTATTGGTGAAACAAGTTGATTTCAACTTTTTTCACTCTTGTTTTCAAAAAATAGTTTAGATATTTTTCCAATACACTTTTTTTTAACCCTCCTCATTAGTGAATTAATGCAGTAGTGACATTAGCTGCATCTTTTTGTCAGTGCAACACAATCAATATAAGCTTCTCTTTCTTTCTGTTTTTCTCCATCTGTTCAACTGTGGTTTTTTTCCTTTTTCCTCTATGTTTTCCAGTCTTTTCCAATGACTTTTCGTTCAACTGGAAGCTTCATGGTAATTGTGGTGATAGCTTGTCTATGGTGACATCCGCAACTGAGCTTTGTGCCGTGGGAACACAGAGAATATATGATTTTCAGACTCAACATTTGTAGCCATATATGTGAGC